AGTAGTAAAATCCTCTGCAACTCCGTAGATGTAGGCAATTTGTTGAACCACGTAAATCTGCGTGTTCTTTTCTGGTGTAATTTTTCTCGTTTTTTTTTCGCTTCGTCGATCGTTCTCTTGTTTGATTTAAATATATTCCACATCAACACATCAACTGCTCTGATATATATTTCATAACACTCATGTCATAACAAAAATATTACTATTTTTATTAAAAAAAAAGTGAAATGTCCATTTTCATATATAAATAAGGTGAAATGTGAAATTGAAGCTTAAGAGTTACATACATAAATACATACGAATAAAATGCTATGTATATAATTCATCCTAAATATAAATACTTAATAAATACATACGATACATGCCCCGACCATCCCTCGTGCGCCCATAATTCGAGTACCATACCCGACATTTGGGGGAAATCAAACCCCAAACCAGATGAGACTTACAACTGACAAGCAGATGCCCGATCGACTGATCTAAGTATATTTAGGTTTAATATATATTTTGCTTTCTATGACTTGATGGAATATCATTAACTATGGAGCTAAAAAATAAATAACAGAGTCCTGCAAAAATAAACCAACTAGCAAGACTTCGAATAATAAAACAATTTATCTTTTCTTGAGACCAAATGTAAATTCATGCAACCATAGTTTAAGTTGAGCCAATTCTGACTAAGTCATGAGTTATGTGTAAAATTTATATTAAAGGCCGGCTATGGATGAACAAATTTCCAGACATGATGACTCACATATATATATATGTATAGGTCTCGAATCAATATTTAATAATGTTGATATAATGGGGAAGTATGCACAATAAGACATGTACAAAGCACACGTAGCTCCTAAGTTATGCTCCAGATAAATTTTCCGTTGAAAATTTCTACTGGAAAGAAATAAAAATTTGTTGTTTAATCTTAAGCTTTATGACGATTTTTGCTTGCTAAATTGGAGACCCTTAATTTCCATAGCAAAATATTGTTTATTAATAATATTTTTTCTTTCTGTAAAAAAATGCATAATGTTAAGCATGCTCATAAAAAATTGGTATTGGAATTCTCATAATGCCTTATCTAAACATATTGTTAATATTAAGAATAAACATGATTTTATTCTTCAACAACTTGATTTTTGTTTGTTCAGATTTCTTTATTACAAGACAGTACCTCTATAGCTACAACTTATAAAGATTTGTTCGTTTGATGTTTATATTTCTAATATGTTTCAAGTTTTATATCATTATGATACTATTTCTTGTAAAATTAAATATATATATATATATATATCATCTTTTTGCTTTGAAAATAACTGTCTACTTTAATTGAAATGAATGAAATGCTTGGCTTTTTAAAAATAAATACACTACAATTGATTTTGTTATTTGTAATGTTCATTAGATGATTATTTACAAAAGTAGGAATTGGAAATTTAAGAGGGAGATCTTTAATAACATAATATAATTTTATGGCATCAATTCACATCTACATTAATATCTTCTTTTACAATTAGTTGTTTTAATGCATATTTGTTTTTGTAGATTTTATATATGTTCTGATTTCTTCTTCGTTAAGATCTCAGTTTTTTTGTTTTTTGTTTGTTCTAAGATTTCCTTACCTCTTGCCTTTAAAATTTAACATAATATCAAAATATTTTAGTTTCTAAAAGTTTGGATAGAATTTTAAATCTTTCTTGATTTTGGTTGATGCAGTCTTTTGTCTTTCTGGATTTTTATTTTTTTATGTCATAAGTTTTGTTTTTCTCTTTTCTTTTTAAGTTCAACCAATTTTTGAATATTTTTATATTTTAGAAGTTTGGTTGGAATTTTAAAATTTTCTTATTGTTGGTTGTTGCAGTATTTTTTCCTTGATAATTTGGATATTGCTCTTTGTATCTTTGGCTATTTATTGATTTATCAACTTTTGCTATTTTTTTTGTTGTTTTTTATTTGTTAGTTGATGCTTATTGCTATTGGTTTTTGTTTTACTATTTGATCTTAGTTTTTTTATTGAAATTTGATTTTTTTTTTTTAGCTTTGAAGATTGTCAGCCACTACTAAGAGTCAACAAGTATTTGAATTTATTTATTTATATTTCATACTTTGGTGAGAATTTTAACAATCTCTTATAGGTAGGTTGTGAGCTCTCTCTATTTTTTTTTTCCTTGTGAGTTTCCAATTTTTTATTTCTTTGATTTATTTTCGACTTTGGTGATTCTTTTCTGCTTTTTGGTTGTTGTTGCCTCTTTATTAGTTAGTTTGGTTGTTACTTTTTTTTCTAATATTTTTTGGTTGGTTGTGTTTTATTGTTATTTGGTGTTGTCTGTTAGTTGTGTTTGTAGTAATTATTTGCTGTCCTATTTTACTACTTGATCTTAACTTTTAATGAGATTTGATTTCAGAGCTTTAATGATTGGCAACCGCTATTAAAATTCAATAAGTTTAAGAATATTCTTATTTATATTCTTTACTTTGGATGAAATTTTAATATTCATTTCCACGTAAGTTCTGAGCCCACTTTTGTCTTCTAAAAAGTTTCCAATCTTCAATTTCTTTGGTTTATTTTTTATTTTTGTCTACTACTATTCTTTAGTAGTTTTTTAGTTTATTTTCTATTCCTTTGTTTTTTTCTTTATAGTATAGTTTTTTTTACTGTTGTTGACATCATAGTTGGATTGCTGCATATGTTCTTTTTTATTTTTCTTTCAATTTATTTTAATTCTCCTTCGTTTGTTTCATTTTGTTATGTTTCCTTGTGATTTTATCATATTCTCTACTGTTTGTTCTTTCAAGTTTTTTTAACATCTTTGTTGGCTGCTCTCTTCTTCATTTTTTTTTGGTTCTTCGCATGAGTGACTTCATTTGGTTGTTGCAACTCTTTAGGGTTTTGTGTTGCTACTTTTTTTTTCTTTATTATTCTTGTTTTTTCATCTCTAAGACTTGTAATTGTTGCTGCTTACTTTCTTCTGTTGTTATATATATATATATATATATATATATATATATATGAGAAGCTCCAATAAAGGGTATTGTTTTTATGGTTTGGGCTTATCTTTTCTCCGATACTTAATGATAATAAAAATATTTTTTTGGAACTACAACTATATATAAAATTTAAATAAATCTCTCTCTTCTGGTAGCTTATACTTCAAGCGATATGAACAAAATAAGAGATAATTTAGCATAATTAAAAAAAAAATTGTGAGTCATAAGATTGAATTTTGCATTAGATATGGGAATTAGGTGGGTAGCCTGATGGGCTCGTCATAAGCTCGCTTAGAATGCACGGACTTGGGTGTGTGAGTCAAGCCCAGCTCGCCTTGACAAAGTCAAAGCCAGAATAGGCTTGACCTACCACAAGCCAGTTCGCTCAATGGCCAAAGCTCATGAGTATAGTTTGTAATTGCCAACTTTCAAGATGGTTAATTCCTTTAAAAAAATCACTTTTTGATGCTTTGACGAGAATTTGAAAAATAGAGGTAACATATTAAACCAGATAGTTTTCTTCTAAAAATAGTCTTGCTCCAATCTTCTTGTGATATCAAAATTTAAAATAACTAGTTTAAAGTTGAAGGGTCTTCTTTGGAAAGCATGAGTCTTCATGTATTTACACATAAAGTATGAACAATTACAAAGATAGCAGTAAAAAAAATTGTTATACACAAAACTAGCACATTCTTGCATCCATTTTTCAAATTTCCTCCAAAGCATTCTATAATGATATATAACATATGAAAAATCACATTTCTTTAAGGTTGAGGAGGCCAAAGCTATTTATTGTCCGAGCTTGATCATGAAATTGCAAATAAGAATCAGGCTCAAGCCTGGCCCTAACTCGCTTTGACTGATCAAACCCGATAAACTTGGCCCATGCCAAATCTGGCTAGCATAATGCCCAAATTTAATTTGTATATAGTTATAAATTTGAATTTATCAAATTTTAATTTTATGAAATAAATTCTCAAAAATTACTTCTTAGAGAACTAAGAAAATAATTGAGTATGGAATTTATTTTGAGACTACACTTTGGTAGATTGTCCAAAAAATTTATTAATGTTCTTGATCTCTTTGCGTTACTAAGTTTCTTAAATTTATTTGAGTATTGCTAGTTTATCCTCAAATAAATTAAAAAAATAGGCATTTTTGAAAAAAATATTTATGTACATGTGTTGGAATCATCAAGACAGAGACAAATGAATTAACAATTTACCAACTGGCATCATTATGAGCAAATTTCCAAATCACGCAGAAAGAAAACTCTAAGCAAATTTCACGGATAGATTATAAGCTTTTATCGACTCTAGCTAGGTGGCGCCGCCATTTTCTCCGCCGTCCCTATCTTTTTACGACTTCATCAAATATTGCAGCTCCTCCGCAACCTCACTCATCATCGGCCTCTCCTCCACTCTCACCATTAAACATCTCCTCGCCAACTCCGCCACCATCTCCACCCCTTTCCCCTTAATTCCCAAAACTTCCTTCCTCACCCTTCCCTCCAACATCACAACCAAACTCCCCTCCGTCAGACCTTCCCTAAATCGCTTCCCCAGGGCCTCCTTCTCCTAGCCGTACACATCTCCCTTCTCCGTCGGCCTCCCAGAAATTTTCACAAACATCGGATCCCAATTCCCCTCCCTGTCTTTCATAATCTTCGACACAACCAAGCAACTAACTTTCACCAATCTCGCCCCGAAATCGGGCACCTTTGGCTCCATCCCCTCGTCCAACAATATATCCTTGGTACTCACCCCGCGATGGAATTGCGGATCGGGGATGGCAGAGTGGAGGCAAGCCAGAGCTTCTGCCGTCTTCGCCGCGATTCTCAAGCGAGCCTCCCAAGAAAGGCCAGAGCCATGGAGTTCGTGGACGTGGTGATACAGCGTTCCGTTGGGCACGTACTCGTAGACCACCACAGGGACCGGCGTATCGTCGCAACAGGCGCCGAGAAGTCGGACAATATGCTTGTCGGCCGGGAGCATCGAGAGGGTTACGAGCTCGCTTAGAAACTGTTTGACCCGGGGCTCGTTAACGTGGCACCATCGCTTGATAGCAACTATGCGATCATAAATGATGCCTTTGTAGACGGTGCTGCAGCCGTTGCTTGCCTCGCCGATGCTGCGGCTTTCGTTGTAGCCGTCGGTGGCGAGCTCCAACTCCTCGGCGGTGAAGATGCGGAAGGTTGGAGGAGATATGTTGAGTTCCGTCAGACGTTGCCGGAGGATTCGGCCGCCGTTTTGTTGGAAGAAGTTTTCGTTGATCCCCCACATTAATTAAGTAATTGGAATTCGGGCAGCAGAGAGATAGAGAAGGTAGATATAGCTTAAGGCAGGTTATCTGCTGCCATGCCGTTCTCTTTATATGCAAATTCTGGTCAGACGGAGAAAATGGGCGAGGTGATCGGCGAATTCCTCAACTCCTTGCTTCCTAAGTAAGATTAGTGGCAAATGCTGATTATAGGATTTAATTTCTATAATAATATTTCTTCATTATTAAACAATTATATGCTATACAAATACTTCCTCACACATCTTGAAAACATTAAACAAAATTGCATTGCTTTAATACATACCATAGAAGTCTGTCATATTTAATTAATTACAAATTTAAGGCAATATTTTCTGTTTCTGATCCTTCGCCGTTTCAGCATAAGTTTCTTCTTCTAAAGAGCCCAGCGGAGCAGGGATGGCAGGAACCGAATCCTTCGAAGCCTCCATTAATGCATATTCCCTCCTCCTTTCTTTTGGAAATTTCTAATTAAGCAGATCGATCAAAAATAAAATAAAATAAAGGTTATTTATGTAAGGAAATAATAAATATTAGTAAGTAATATTTTAAAGCTGAAAGAAATTGAGGAATAACTCACAAGTCCATACTTTGCTTCAAGTAACGGTTTTACTTTCTCTTTATCTTTCTTAATAATTCTCCCGAACTCTACGTAGCTGGTTACATCATACGAAGACCGCATCGTTCTGTTCGTCTTGATCTCTCTATAGAACTGCATGCAACATTGAAATAATTAATAAATAATTATAATGTTAATTTGTGGAAATTTTAAAAATTTTAAGAGCAAATTCTATATATAAATAATTATAATGTTAATTTATGGAAATTTTAAAAATTTTAAGAGCAAATTCTATATGATTTGCAAGCATGCATGCATGTCTTTGGGACAATTCTTATGAATTTACATATCTAACTCCTAAACTTTGTTTTTTTTTTTTATTTTACATTCCAAACACTTGAATTAATCTTTATTATCATGTCAAAATACTATTATCATTAACTTTTTTAAAAACAAAAATTAATTAGCTTTTTATGCGTAAATATAATATTATTAATGCAAATATCCAAGTTTATGCATTAGATATGTAAATACATTGAAAAATATGTGGCTTGAATATATAAATCATCCAAAACTATATTGTAAATTAAATACAGCGAGTAATGTTCCATGCATCTTCGGTAAATTATTGGTGGGGTTATAAGTTACGCGAGCAATTAATTGATGATGCAACCACTCTTGTAATATATATATATATATATATATATATATAAGAGTTAAGCGACCATATTAGCAAACAAATCAACAAAAAAGGCACTAGTGGAAGATATAAAAAGATCACTGGAATAGGGACATTTATACATGCCATGTACACAATTCTTTTGTATTTACTATTTACATATCTAGCTAACACCTAAACATTCATATTTACATGCATATCCCTCAAATCCTTAATATCACATGATCAAAAATACATACCGCCATTAAAATCTTTTTAAAAGTAAAATACATACTTTCATGCATAAATTTATGATACCGAGATGTTATAAGTATAAATATCAAATATTAGAAGTTAGTTATTTAAATACATAAGAGTTGTGTGGTGTGTGTAAGTTTCCCAAAATATTATCACAAGTGACCCAAACAAACTTTAAGAAAAAAAAGTTACTAAATGAAACTTTAACTGTATCTTTTTGGCCTGATGTTCTAGGTTTACTTATTCTTTCCCAGCCGGGAGGCAGCCATCCCAAATTTGAAATAGGTCTCCCTCTTCTTGCGGCCTGTCCGCTACTCTCCGCCTGCTCTTCTTCATTATTATTACTACTCTTCTTCTTCTTCCTCCTCGAACCTTTTTCCCTACCCCCCATTATAGTTTCCTTCAGCTGCTTCAGCTGATCATCTCTCCTCATAAGATTAAACCAGGACGCAGCTAAGAACTTCTCTACTTTAGACTTGGGCGATAATGATTCTCTGGGGGAGGATGCCATATATTTTAAACGAGAGAGAGACAGAGAGAGACAAAGAGATAGGAAGGGAGGGAGAAGATAAGTGTATGTGTTTATATGGACAGAGGGTCAAATAATATGAGGGAAAGGATCAAGCCATGAGAGAGTGTTTTTGGAATATCTATAATATTAATGCGTGCATTTATGAATTAGTTTAGGAATGGGATTTTAATGGGAATCCATATATTAGGTTTGCTATGGGGAGTGGATTCTGTCTATTGCAGTCACAAAATTGGATTATACAGTCCGAAAAAAGAAAATAATGCGCATATATATATATATATATA